TCCAGAGTTCAAGTGATCCACTTAGCTTTCCAAGTAGCTGTGTGCCACGACACCTGGCTAATTTTTATTTTTTTTTTGGAGGGGGCAGAAACAAGGTCTCACTGTGTTGCCCAGGCTGGCCTCAAACTCCTGAGCTCAAGCAAACCTTCCGCCTTGGTCTCCCGAAGTGTTAGGATTACAGGCATGAGCCACTGCGCCCATCTTGTATCTATGTTTAGGGCATATTGGGGACCACACTATTGAGTGAGGCAGTCAAAACCAAGGATAGGTTCAGCTGCTTTACTTTTTACCTTTTTCACTTTCTGCAGAAACAGAGAGATTATACCCTTGATGGGGAGTCGGGGAAGGTGTCTAATCTTCAATACCTGCACAGGTAGGAGTTATTTTAATTTTTCTATTTTTTAATATTGTGAGGTATATCATTGGAACAAAAGAGTGTATATATAATGTTTAGGTGCACTTAAATTTATAATTTCTTAATATATAATACTATTGCAGATATGTGCACTTTACCATATAAGAGTATATATACTATATTTGCATATTATTTTATATCTAATTCAAGACTTTTACACAGCATAAGAACTAGAAGACAACCCGTGTCTAAATTCTCTGTAGTCCCTCCTTCAGTTCATTTGTCCTCCTCTTCCAGAGCTAAGTACTCTCCTTCCCAGTTCCAAGTTCTGAAAGTTATTCTCTCCGTTCCGAATGTTAAAGTTGTTCCTTTTACTTCCATCTGGAGTTTATTTTTGTGTAAGGTAAAGATCTGCTTCACTTTTATTCCGTAAGGATAATGGATTGTTCCAGTGCAGTGTGTTAGCTAGCTCCTCCTTTCCCCACTGATCTGTAGTGCCAGCTCTGTCAGGCATACATTCCATTTTCTCCCTGTGTGCTCTTTTTCTAGACTCTCTCTGCTCTGTTGATTTATTTATCTGTTCTTGGACCAGCACAATGAATTATTATAGCTTTATGCCAAGTTTTGACATCTGATAGAGCAAGTTCCCCTTACTAGGTTTTTCCTCAGGTGTATCTTGACTATTCTTGTGCCTTTTCTTTTTCATATACATCTTTAAATCACCTTGTGAAGTTTCAATTTTTTAAAGGGTGAGTCATTTTGTTTCACAGAAGAGGAAGAGTGACATTTTTTGGATCATACAGGGAAGAAATAAGATTGTTACTTGGGAAAACTTCACTTCTCATCAGATTCTGTTTTCCATCTGACCTTGAATTTTTAATTTCTTAGTTACTGCTTATAATTTATATAGTGAACCTGATAATATCCTTAGTCATTTCCCTGCCTTGTTTCAGTTTTTTTTATAAAAGCAAAACCATTACAACTCCCTTTTTTACCCTTAATCTCCATTCTTAAGGAATTTTGTTTTATGTGAATGTCAAATTGATTCCAGAGGACTCAGATGCATAGAATGTCAAGCAAGAATGGCCCTTAGATATTGTCTGTTTCGACAACTTGATGAGAAAGGTGAAGTTCCAGGAGGTTAAGTGATAATGTTTACAGTTGATGCTACAGAGACTCTTCTTAGCCTTGAAAAGACCCTTAGAAATCTTCAACAAAGCTGGGCTCGGTGGCTCAGCCTGTAATCCCGCACCTTTGGGTGGCTGAGGTGAGTGGATTGCTTGAGCCTGCAGGTTTGAGACCTGCCTGGGCAACTTGGCGAGACCTCATCTCTACAATAAATCAAAAAATTAGCCGGGTGTGGTAGCACGCACCTGTGGTTCTAGCTACTTGGAAGACTGAGGCGGAAGGATCGCTGGAGCCCAGCTGGTCGAGGCTGTGGTGACCGGAAGCGGCCACTGCAATCCAGTCTAGGCGACAGAGTGAGACTCCAACTGAAAAAAAAGAAAAAAGAAATCTTCAACAAGTCTTATGAACCTTTGGAATTTTGAAGCTCTTCACCCTTGAATCCATTCTCCCACCTTAAGATTCAGCTAGTGTCAGGGTCATGGATTCCAATTAGGATTGGAGGCCAGCTTTGGGATAAATTGATTAATCAGGAGTCAGGTAGCTTTTGTATTGTAACAAACCTTTGTAAAATTATATCTAAATTCCTCTATTATTTTGTGTGGAATCATTTTATTTTGAGAGTTTGACTTTTAGAAGAATCTATTTTATGACCTGCTCTCCCATTTCTTAGAAGCAGCCACTTTTATTTACTTTGACACATTCTTCTGGTATTTACCTCCTCATCTCTGAATGATGTGTGTATGTTGCTGCTTCTGGATTTGAGGTTTTCATCACTTTATGCACTTTCCACTATTGCCCTGTCTCCATGCCACTCCTCTCTGCCTTAACCTTCTTGACTCCCAGCCAACACTTACACAGGCTTGCTTATTGCTGATACCATCAAAGGGGTTGTTTGTGTTCTTTTAAAAATATAATTTCTCTTTGGCCAGGCGTGGTGGTTCAAGCCTGTAATCCCAGCACTTTGGGAGGCTGAGGCAAGAGAATTGTCTGAGCCCAGGAGTTCGAGACCAGCGTGGGCAACTTGGTGAGACCTCATCTCTACAATAAAAAATTAGCTGGGAGTGGTAGTGCATGCTTATAGTTCTGGCTACTTGGAAGGCCGCAGTGGAAGGATCACCTGAGCCCAGCAGGTCGATGCTGGGAAGGCCTTGAGCATGCATGCCACTGCACTCCAGCCTGGGCTACGGAGTAAGATTCCAACTCAAAAAAATAAAAATAATAAATATATAGTGTCTCTCATTCTAACTTCACAACTGCAGAATCTTCCCTTATCTTTCTAGGGTTATTAGTAAGTTTGTTATTTTGTTTTTTTTTAGTTGGAGTCTCACTCTTGTCACCCAGGTTGGTCACCACAGCCCTTACCTGCTGGATTTAGGTGATCCTTTCACCTCAGCCTTCCAAGTAGATAGAACTACAGATGCATGCCACCATGCCTGGCTAGTTTTTGTGATTTATTGTAGAGATGAGGGCTCACCAAGTTACCTAGGCTGGTCTCAAACCCCCGTGCACAGGCAGTCCTCTCACCTCGGCCTCCCAAAGTGCTGAGATTACAGGTTTAGTCACCACACCCGGCCAATAGTAGTTTTTTTGAAGTTTTCTTCTCCATGCAATCTGGTTCCTCCAGGCTGCTGATTTTTCCCTGTTTGTTGTGTTCTCTTCTTTCTGGTTAGAAGTTTTCCTTAAATGTCTGGTGATCCTCAGCCATGCCCTTCCTCGGAGAATGTGGCTTGTCATTTGGGAGCTCTGCACATGCCTGGGGCTCATTGCTTGTGCCTTGGTACAGGTGTCGGGCCCTGCCCTTTCACTGAGTACTTCAACTCCAGAATCTTGAAGTGTTTCTCCTTGACTGGACGGATCCCTGGAATATACCAGGCTGCTATTGTTGTGGAAACTGAGTAGAAAAGAAGGCCAGTGGGTCAACACTCAGAATCTGACAGTCCCTGGATCCTGTGTTCTTTGTGGAGCCCTCGATCTCAGCTCTGCATGTGTCCCCCGTCCACAGGCATCTTTTGTATCCTCTCCAAGGGATGACCTCCAGGCTTCTGCCAGAGTGGAATGAGGCTCTAGAGACCTAAATCTTCTTAAACAGATTTTTAAATAGTTGCCATGTTCTTATCCCCAAATATTAAAAGGATTTGTCAGATGGTGCAGTTAAAATAGTCTCTTCAGCACATATTCACAGTTAGTATGTGTGACCATCCCGAGACTCTACCTCGGTATTCTCTCAGAAGGTAAGCTTGTCAGATGAGTAGGAGCAGCTGCTATAGGAGCACACTGTCCTTGTAGTATGGGGCAAGCAGGGAACTCATCCTTGTTCCAGAGTGTGGCTTGCCATCAGTGAACTATCTTTTTTTTTTTGAGTCAGAGTCTCACTCTGTCACCCAGGCTGGAATGCAGTGGTACACTCACGGCCACCGCAACCTCTACCTGCTGGGCTCAGGTGATTCTTCCACCTCAGCCTTCCAAGTAGCTGGAACTACAGGCACGCACCATCATACCCAGCTAATTTTTTGATTTATTATAGAGATGAGGTCTCGCCAAGTTGCCCAGGCGGGTCTCCAACCCATGGGCTCAGGCAATCCTCTCACCTCAGCCTCCCAAAGTGCTGGGATTATAGGCATGAGCCATCGAACCCGGCCATGGAATATCTTTCTTATTTTTCTTATTTATTTTTTTTTTGAGTTGGAATCTTACTCTGTCACCTATGCTGGAGTGCAGTGGTACACTCATGACCACCTCAGTGTCCTCCTGCTAAGCTCAGGTGATCCTTCTGCCTGACCTTTCCAAGTAGCTGGAACTACATGCACATGCCACCACACCCAGCTAAAAAAATTTTTTGATTTATTACAGAGATAAGGTTTCGCCAGGTTGCCCAGGCTGTTCTCGAACCCATAGGCTCTGGCAGTTGTCTCACCTCGGCTCCCAAAGTGCTGGGATTACAGGCTTGAGCCACCACACCCAGCCGCCATGGACTATCTTAAGTACTAGCAATGTCCTCTGAAATCAGTAGCTCTGTGTCTCCTGAAAAAAGATATAGAGGATGTAATTCAAGCTAAAATCAAATTTTGCTATAAGGCCTTATATTAGTTCCCTGAAAGTCTGCCACTGAGTAGCAGCCAAATTGAGGATCCCTTGAGGACCAGGCAAAACGGCCCTGCTATGTGACACGCCCTCACCCCCACTTCCCCTTGGTCAGGCTGAACTCGTAGTCCAGTACCCTTGTCAGCACTTCAGCTTCTCTGAGCCTGACTTGAGCTGACATATGGTACATTCCAGCTACCTGACTTACATCAAGCTGTCGACAGCAATCAAGCGTAATGAGAACATGGCCAAAGGTCTGCAGAAGGCTCTGCTGCAGCAGCAGCCGGACGATGACAGCAAGCGCTCCCCCCGGCCCCAGGACCTGATCCGGCTCTACGACATCATTCTACAGGTGACCCATGAGGACTGGGAGAGCCTGGGCCTGTCCTTTGTGTGTGTTGGACACAGTGTGACTTAATTTTGCATAGTAAAAGGGCTGCGACAGCCAGGAGCTGTTAGTGGCTAGTGAAAGATAAAGGTCTCGTACCAGTGTAACTGTCAGTGAGCCCCTGTGTTTCAGACATGTTGATGTGTAGAGACAAGTAAACCCACAGGTATTCACTGAGCACTTCACCTGTGTAAGGTGCTCTCCCAGGTGCTGTGAAGCATCCTGAGATCCGAGTCCACATTGTCTCAGCCCCTGGGAGTTTATAAGTAAGACTGTGGGATATAGACACACACACACACACACACACACACACCTGTTTAGATGCCACACGAGTGGACTGCTCTGAGACAAAAATTCAGAGCTGGAAAAGATGCCTTTCAGCTGAGAGGGTCAGAGAAGTTTCTGAAGGAGGATAAGATGTGAATTGAGTCATAAAGGACAAGTTGGGCTTTCAGTATCAGGGGAACAGAGGTAATGCCAGGTACAGCTGCTGCCACATCACATTTTACAGACTTTTCCTCATTTTTTTTCTCACCCTTATCTGTTCATACAAGGTCTTCTGTCAAAAACTCGATCTGAGATCTTCTTTTGTAAGTGTTCTTGTTTTATCTGTTGTACAGAATTTGGTGGAATTGCTCCAGCTTCCTGGCTTAGAAGAGGACAGAGCCTTCCAAAAAGAGATAGGCCTTAAGACGCTGGTATACAAAGCTTACAGGTAATGTCCTATGAGACAGGTAGGGTTCTCCTCGCCCCCTGGGTTCTGTAAGCCTTGGGAACATGCCCCAACCCGCAGACTTTATGATTACCTTGCCGTAATTAAGGGAAATCGCTAAAGGCTGCAGCCAGCAGTGTCCAGTGCATGTGTCTGCTCTTTGCCTAGGTCAGAGGGAGTCGGAGCACACACACATTAAACTTGGCTTCCTCTGCTTTCCTCCTTCCCCCAGTGGAAAAGGGACTAAACATTGAAAAGGCTACTAATTAGCAGAACCAGAGTAGCCAGTTCAGGAAAGCTGAACTGATTTGGGATAAAGCTAAACTTCTCAGTTCTTAAATAAATCGTGTTATTTGTAACTTGGCAGTAGCCTGGGCAGTAGACCAAGAGGGGTCTAGCCAGAATGGCCAAACAGAGCCATGCGCATTCTTGCCCTTCCTTTTCTGGCCCTCACACCCCAACACACTCTGGTTCTTCAAGGTGCCAGGCTTTGTTCTTGTGACCTTTTCCATCCTGTTTGGGGGCCAGCAGCACTCAGACTCTGCTGAGCTCAGTAGAGGAATTTAGGGCAAGAAGAAGCTTCTTTGGGTTTGATTTTTTTTTTCATGTGGTATTTGCATTTTTGTTTTATTTGTTTTTTTTTTTATAATCAATCTTTTTCATGATGATATTGTGGGGTACAGTTAAGGGTTAGGTATATAAATGTGCTTCGTTCACGCACCCTTGTTGGTAAGAGGTGTCTCCCCGGGGTGTGATTTTTGGAAAGAGACGAGCAGAGATGAACAAGTGCAGCTTGGACATGTGAGCAGGGCGAGTGCAATTCACATTGGAGCCTGGTGGCGTTCTTCCTTCCCGCCTGTCCCCGGCTTCACCGTGCTTCTTTTGGAAACTACCCCTTTGCATAGCCAGCCAGTAAGTAAAAGACGGTGGCTCGGTGTTGGCCCCACACAATCATCTCTGATTGCTGGGGTGAGTCTGCAGGTTAGTCTGGCAAACCTGAATATTACAGTGTAAAGTGTCTCCCATGCAGTGATCCTCAGCTAAGAGACCTGTTTTCAAATGTGAAGTTTTGCCAGAACTGCAAGGAAAGCCTTGGTCTTGGGTAATTGTTGCTTTAGAATACTGTGGCTCTTTTCCCCTCCCCATCAGGTGTTTTTTCATTGCTCAGTCCTATGTGCTGGTGAAGAAGTGGAGCGAAGCCCTTGTCCTATATGATAGAGTCCTGAAGTATGCAGATGAAGTTAATTCCGATGCTGGCGCCTTCAAGAACAGCCTCAAGGTGAGACATTGGCCTCTCCTTGTTTCCAGGCCCTGGCAGGTTTTCGAGTGAGCCTGTGGAGGGACTGTGAGGGTACAGCAGCTGGGCTCCTTCTCCGGCTGGTTCCCCCTGGTCGCCCGTGGGGCCTGGTATGTCCCTGCCTGCCCAGGAGCCACAGACTGTGTAACTTGTGGCTGCATTCCAGGCCTGAGCAAGAGGATTTAGATACAAAGAAGGAAAGCCATTTCTCTAGTTTAAACAATAACACACAAAAAAACCTGAAGTACCGTTTTCAGACTTGGCTACATTTGAAATTTTCTGGGAAGATTTAAAAAAGATGGATTTCTGTGTCCCACTCAGATTCTGGTTCTGATTAGTCTAGGTTCTAGAATGGGCACTGGGCTTTTTAAAATCCCCTCAGTGATTCTGACATGTAGCAAAGTAGAGAACCGCTGGTGAGGACTTCCTGCACAGAGTGTGTCCACGATCAGCAGCACAGCAGCATTGGGGATCTTGCTAGAAATGCAGAATCTCAGACCCCACGCAACTCTCTAGTCAGAGCCTGCATTTTAACAAGACTCCCAGGCAATTTGGATGTCCATTAAAGCTTAAGAAGTGCTGATAAGCCGGACTTGGTGGCTCAGCCTGTAATCCTGCGCCTTTGGGAGGCTGAGGTGAGTGGATTGCCTGAGCCCGCGGATTTGTGACCCGCCTGGGCAACTTGACAAGAGCTCATCTCTACAATAAATCAAAAATCTGCCGGGTGTGGTAGCACACGCCTGTTGTTCCAGCTACTTGGAAGGCTGAGGCGGAAGGATCGCCGGAGCCCGCACTCCAGTCTGAGCGACAGAGTGAGACTCCAACTCAAAAAACAAACAAAAAAAAACCAAAAAATAAAAAAATAAAAATAAAACATTGGCTGGTCCCAGGAATCCACATGTATTTTACAAACAGAGACTGTTTAGAAAAGCAAACTAAGGTTTGCATGCAACATAGATCATTCACCTCAGCAGAGAAGAAGGAAGCATTTTACAAATACCCGTCTGACCACGTGTGCTGAATGATTCTGGGAGAAAGTGTCAGAGAATGGGGGCAGGAAGGATCCTGTGGTATCCAGACCTTGTCAGATCATTCCCCTTATGCCAAGTAACAGACCAGGGCCAGGAGAATTGCATCGCCCTTGTAGAAGGTGTGGAATGCGGCAGCTAAGGGCTTAGACCCTTGAGCACATGACCTGGTTCTGAATCCCAGCTCTGCTGTCACAGGGAGCATGACTGGCGCACACGTTCTTTAACCCCTCCATGCTTCAGTTTTCTCTTTCATCTGTAAAATGGGAGTGCAGACTACCTCAGGATTATCGAGATGAATAAATTAGCAATTATGTTAATTGCTTCGAATACTGCTTGGCACATACTTTGTTTAGTATATGAAAAATTTATGACTATTTTCAAGTATTTTACTTAAGCCATGGCATAGCTTTTCCCATTTAAAACAGGCTAGTTTTTTGTTTTATTTTGTTTTGTTTTAATAGGGAGAACCATTTAAAAAGTCTAAAATCCTATGAAAGTACCAGTGAGATCGCTTAACTCAGGTTAGCTTGATGTGCCTCTCTGACTGGCCCTGGCTCGGGAGTACACGCTTTCTGAATCGTTGCAGGACCTGCCTGGCGTACAAGAGCTCATCACTCAAGTGCGGTCGGAGAAATGCTCCCTGCAGGCCGCGGCCATCCTAGGTGAGCCATCTGCCTGGCCCTTGCCACCTGTATCCCCAGATGTCTGTTCCCTGCCATTCCTCTTCTCCCTAAGCCCTATACTACTGTTTTAAGATTAAAAGGGATTGTTTTGGTTATTCTATAGGATTTTTATTTTTCCAGCTTTCTGCCACATCAGACAGTGAATCGTGTAGAAGGATTTAGAGAAACACTATTATACTGTTCCTTCTCCCTGTTGTTGTCTTCTGTACAATTGGGCATCAGATCTGGGATTCATCGCGGTTATCTATCCCACTTCTCAGGAGGAGGGAAGGGCTAACTTCTCCACATGCTGGCTACCTTTGCTCTTGGAATTTAGAAGCCATGTATGTGATAGACCTCATTTGTGACTGTAGTATACTAAGTCCTTGTTCTTACTCAATCCCTGTGAAACTTCCAGATGCAAATGACTCCCATCAAACAGAGACTTCCTCTCAAGTCAAAGACAATAAGGTAAGTCTGGGCTGTAGCTTTCGAGGTACATATGAAGAATAGGATTAGTAACCCACTAGGAATATGTATTCATTTGTAGAGCAGTGGACCCTTAATTTCTTTTTTTTTTTTTTTGAGTTGGAGTCTCACTCTGTCGCCCAGACTGGAGTGCAGTGGCCACTCCCGGCCACCGCAGCCTCCACCTGCTGGGCTCCAGTGATCCTTCCACCTCAGCCTTCCAAGTAGCCGGAATTACAGGCATGCGCTGCCATGCCCGGCTGATTTTTTTTTTTTAATTTATTGTAGAGATGAGGTCTCGCTGCCCAAGCAGGTCTCGAACCCGCTGGACCCTTAATTTCTAAGGAAACCCCCCTACTACCCTCCCTTCTCTTATACAAAGACGTGAAAGCTGCTTGTATAAAATTTGTTAGGTAGCTAGGATGTCCCAGATAAGAAGGTTGAGGAACCTGAGCTGGGTGCCATGGCCGAAGCAGGAGGATCATTTGAGTCCAGGAATTCAATCCTGCAGTGAACTATGATCGTGTCACTGCACTCCTACCTGGGCAATAGAGTGAGACTCTGTCTCTTAAAAAAAAAAAGTTAACCCTGTGGCTGTGCGGAGTAGCACCCATGAGCCGTGGACAAGGACTAACGTGCACATTTGACAGACCTGTACCCCTATGGTAGGCAAATGATAGCACCTCATAGGAGATTGTTGGGGTTGAGTGAGATCGTGCACGTGAAGCTCCAAGCTGGGCATTCGGCACATGGGGAATGTTTCAGCGTGGGTCTTCTGTGATTAACGCCCAGATGCCTTCCTTTGATTTCAATTCCAGCCTCTGGTTGAACGGTTTGAGACATTCTGCCTGGACCCTTCCCTTGTCACCAAGCAAGCCAATCTCGTGCACTTCCCACCAGGCTTTCAGCCTATCCCTTGCAAGCCTTTGTTTTTTGACCTGGCCCTCAACCACGTGGCTTTCCCACCCCTTGAGGACAAGTTAGAGCAGAAGACCAAGAGTGGCCTCACTGGATACATCAAGGGCATCTTCGGATTCAGAAGCTAACCAGGCTCTTCCTCGGGGGCAGGGGGAGATTCTGACTCTTAACCTGTATTGTGAGAAAACCCCAGCAAGTTCCATGATATTAAATCCAAGTCTGATTGGCCCAGGACAGGCATTTAACATCTTTAGCCCTGCGTTTCCACATCTTGTGTGTTTGTGCACTTACATTCTTAACCAGTGTGTTCGGAGGACACCCTGTCGTCTTCTGGTGGATGTAGGCAGGGTCACGCTGTTTCCTGTACCTCCTGGGAGAGGGCCCGCTACTGTCTGGTCCCCTGTGAGGCGTGGTTGATTACCTTTGGTCAGTAATATGTTCAGGGGCTTCACACCCGGCACGGACGGGGCCCCGGAACTCTTTGTCATGTTTCTTCAGTACTGTGGATTTGAAATGAACTCATCCTTGCTGTGAGCATCCAGAATCCCTTGAGAAGTTTGTCTGTGACTATGGAACATTGGCAATGTCACCCCAGAATTACGGTCAGCCTTATTCCTCTTCACCTTCAAGTGAACACTAAGAAGTTTCAGAATAAGCAGAGAGCTCTATTTTTAGAAGAAATATGTTACACTCAGAAATGATGAAACCAAATCTTATATTAAAAGCAAAGATGATGGAGACTGTGCCCATTTTTTACATGCCCTTCCTCACGTCCAGTCCCAGCTCTCTACTCAGGGACCTGGTTGTATGACCCCGTGAGGTCAAGTGTATTCTGATTTCCTGGCAGCTGGGTGTGGCTATTGCCAGATTTGGATGTGTTAGAGGCACTGTTTTTAAAGAGTTCCCAGTCTGTAATTTTTAGATGCCATTACTTTTTAATCAATCTCTTCCTTACTCTCTCATTTTTTCCTTAGTCATCCTTTTCTATTTCTATTACAGCATCAATAATAGAAGTCACAAAAGTAATGTAAAACAAGGAATAAAAGTGATTTAAGTATGAGATGTACCCAACACCTCTAATTCCCTTTGGAAATCAAAACTACTTGACCCACAGGAAAGAAACCCCACTACGAAAAATATTGGCTTAGGTGTGTTCAGACGCAGAAGACTAGGTGACTTGAAGGGAAGGCTGGATGGTTAAAGACCTGAAAGCATTATGTGAAGATAGAATCCCACTGTAGGCACAACCATGTCCCCTGTTTTCCAGCAAGTTGCAGGAAGGGATGGCTGGAAGACAAATCGGACTTCTTGCTAGAGTTGTGTGTCGGCAAGGACTTTCAAGGCACTCGGGACCTTCTCCCCCAGGAATTGCTTGGGTCAAAGAGCCTCAAGAAGCTGATTTTCTTTTTGAGTTGAAAGCACCACCTTATATACCATACGATTAGGAGTCGCCCGCTTTCCTCCCTTTGAAGATTAGCAGATAATGACCTCAGGGTGAGGCCGAGGTTTGACCAGGTCAGTGTCCCTGGTGTGTTGAGGGAACACTGAGGGGCTTTATTCTGGTCCTCACCCTCCTCCCAGGGTGACAGGTCAGGTTTCTGCATCTCTCTTGTCTCTGTGCTCATAGCCGTGCCGCCCTCCTGCTCCAGGAGCCAGACTCCAGGCCCCACTGTGCGGCCAGTCTCCACCTGCCTCGTGCCAGTGTCTGCAGCACTGTGAGGGGTACGAGGATGGTGACATCCCTTCGGACTCTGGCCCTTGTGTCCTCATCTTCCTCGGAAGATGGCCCTTTGTCTTGCTCAGCGCCCTACAGCCCCTCCCACTTCCAGAGTGTCCGCTGCAGTGGGGGTCTAGAGCCTACACGGTAGAGGTGAAGCAGCAAGTCATTCTGATTGCACCTTTTCATCGGAGGATTGCTTAATGCTTTGTCTCTTATTCATGGCCACACCAGAATTTCCATTCCTGCCAGTGTCCCTGCTGCACACTCAGTAGTAGTGGCTGTTATCGGCCAGTGATGCTGTGTTTAGTATTAAAAGCACATGTTTACATGAGAGGACAGATCTGGCAGGGCTGAGGTCTCAGGTTAGCTCACACATCCCTTCTCATAGGACCCCTGGATATTAAGCAGGCTGTGTCACGGAGGACAGAGCGCCAAAAGCAGGGACCCCTCCTGTCCTCAGCCCCAGGAAGTGACTCTGCCTCATGGGAACGGGTTCCATGTCAGGTCCTTCCTGCCCCTGGGCTCAGCACACTGTTCACCGGTTGGTGTCACAGAAGGATGCTTCGGAGGCCACACAGTCCAGCCATTCCATGGATCGGGAGACACAAATGAGGTCTCATGGGCTCCAAATGGGATCTGCACTGTGTTTCCAGCGGGTCTCTTCCTGTTGTTTGGCTTCTGTCCCTCCTCTAGGAAACCAGCAGGGACTGGCCCTGGAAGAGTCTCCTGTCTCCCGTTATCAACAGAGTGGGAGGAGAAGCTGCATTTAGTCTCTGTACGTTTAAAACCTGCTCAAGATCTGCCGCACTAATGGTTTGTGTTAACTGTTGGTGTTGATGGTCTCAAACAAGGGTTGAAGTGAGGAGCGTCAGGCCACAGGGTGCAGCACCGGCGTTCGCCGCTTAGTCTCCTGGCTTCTTCCTCTTTTCATACACATTGTTTTGATGTACTGTCTCCTCTCTGCTTTTACATTAAATCAAGTGAGAATTCTTGGATTCCCTGTTTGAAATGAAACATTGCCGGGATTCTTTCCCATCTCCTTGCCCGGGTGGCAACCTGAGCTTTTCTCTATGACCGTGAAGTGATAGCCTGTGATGGCAGTGCACCTCTCAGCCCACAATGCCCTGGACCAGAGCCGGGCCTTTCCTCCCAAAAGCTGAGACAGTGGCCTCACCCCCACCCCCAAGGGAGGAGGGCGGACGCCAGGGACTTCGAGGGTGGGGACTGTGCTCTGTTCACTGTCCTCACTGTGACAATGCTAATATTTCACACAATGGGTATCATCAGTCACACAAAAAAGCTAATTGATCATAGAATTTTAAACAACGCGTTGCTGTCTGCAGGCTTGAAAAGCTTGGAACATTCAGAAGTCTAGGAAAATATCCAAAGATAGCAAAAATATGTGTTGGTTCTAATTTTTTATTTGAAGACACTTGTTGCTACAGAGGAGATGGAAACCAGATTTAGCTGTAAAATTTATCGATGTTCCAAAGCAAAAAGAATAATTGGAAACTGCTTGCATCCTGACAGCAGCAACTGGAAGAATCTAAACTGTCGGTCTGTGAGATATTAGAGATGTGTGGGGCAGGGTCTGGGAGAGGCCGTGGTGGGAGACACTACCTGGGCCCTCTCGGAAGACAGGCCATGCAGGATGTGTGAGGTCAGCGGTCGTGGCCTCAGTGGATCTGCCCTCCGCTCTAAGCGCCATCTGGCACAGAAGAAGTGCTCTGCGAGTCAGCTAGAGGCGTTTTGTACGGGTTAAAGAAGATGCCTCGAATGAATACTGATGGAATGCTGTGAGGACAGGGGGCCGTGAGCTAAGGCCTGTACGTGGTGTCTGTCTGGTTTTTGCTTCTCGGACAGGATTCTCGCGTTTGCCCTAACAGCTCTGCCAGGGGCCGTCTGTCCTGAGCTGCTCCACCTGGAGCTGAGACCTGAGAACTTCTCATCCCTTGCCATCTCTTTACTGTGGTGATTTGAATTGTGTTGGGAACGGGAGCCTTGTTTCTCTGTGGTCCCTGAGTGCAGCAGACGGTTTTTTCTCCTTCATTAACTGCAACTGTGTGTTCGGTTTTGTTTTTTTTGGGGGGGGGGGGGGTTTTTGGTTTTTTTGG